GGCTTCGAAGCCGCAGACCTGAGGCCCCGCTCCTCCCCAGTCGGCTTCCACTAAGAACTTATTAAATAGGGACGGTTTAGAGTTGATCTGTCACTGAGCACTACTTACCCCGAGATCTTTGGGTTTTTGAATTACTTTATTGATCTGAAGATTTTCTTCTTTGGAATGTGACCCTGTTTGGACTTAGAGCTAATCAGGAAACGCTGCGAGGGAGGGCTCTTTGTAATCACCTCGCGGACCTCCCCCGCGGGCGCCGTCGACCCTTCCCCGCCGCGCCGCTGGCGCTCGCCTAGGCTTTGCGGGGAATCCGGCAGCCTCCGGTGCTACACTCCACCGCGCGCCCTGGGAGCTGTCTGTGGTGCTAGGAGAGGGAACTCGGGAGAGCGAGGCCCCGGGGAAGAGACCGGCGGAGGGGGAGAAGAAAGAAACTGAGAATGCCGTGTTGGCCAAGACGGTCCACCCAGCAACACTGAGACCGATAAAGACCTTCAAAATTCAGCCGGAAGGAGGGGAGGAAAAAAGTCCCTTCTGGGTCGTCGCCTCGCCCTGAGGCAGCTGACCTGTTTTTCCAATGCAAGAGGCCAGTTGACACCTCCCTTTTTCTGAAAGCGCACACCCTCAGCCCTACGCACTTACCCCTACTCAGCCCTGGGGGTGTTTGGCCTGCCAGAAGTAAGAAGGGAGGGGCAATGGGCCCAAACCATGCGCCCCAACTCTAGGGAAAGAATCAAGCGGTAGAGAGCCAGGCGGGGAACTGGCCAAGAAAGTGGGACCAGACAAAGACCTAGTGGGAGACTCGAGGAGGCTAGAGGCACTTTCCATGGTCCATGAGGGTAACCCCTGAGAAAGCCCCCACTCATCCTTCTGCTCATACCTCTCTAGCCAACAGCCAAGGCAAGAGCCTGCCTTCCCTCACTAAGAATTCACAGCTATGCAGGAAACATCAGTCCGCTTAGAGTCTCCACTCTGCCCCTGCCCATTCCCACCATTAGTGAAAAGTCAGTCTCTTCCCAAGCACGTTGACTTGTAGCCTGCCTGGCTTTTTAGAAAACTAAGTAGCTCTCTTCCAGTATATTTTTGTAACCACGTGGCTTAACAGGAACTAAAGTTTCCTTAGCCCTGGGGAGAGCTTTTCCAAATATTTTTAGAAAGTTAAAAATGTAACAAAACAAACTACTCACAAGCCACCCGTTTAAAGAGGGGAGGTGGGATTCAGCAGACTCCTAGGGAAGAGCTGCCTAGGCAAGGAGTCAGATGGCAGGAAGAGAGAAGGGAAGTCTTGGTTTGAGGGTAAGTGGGTTTTATTTGCAACAGAGGAAATCTGCTGTCTAATTTGCCATCGTGTGGGCTTTCTTTTTAAGGGGTGGAGCAAAAATAAACTGATACAAGGTGGTAGGTATATTTGCTGGAGGCTAAAGACAAGCCACAATCATTACTTTACAACTCACTGAAAATTGCTGGCTTGGACTAGACTGGCTGGATGCTGGCCAGGCAGTCAACTTTTCACTTCACACTCACTACAGATTTCTGTTAGGTTAGGTGGGGTCCTGGAGCTGATGTGGGGGTGGGCAAATCTAAAGGGGTCACTGTAGGTGTTTAAACACCTCTCTGAAACAAGCTTGTTTTCCTGGGTTTCTGTAGGAAGCAAAGATCGCCACTCCAAGCCCCTGTTTTGCCAGTCCCCAAGTTAATCACAGGACCAAACCAAATAAAGTCTAATTGTAGAGCGCCCTTCAGACACCAAGTGCAACTAGGGGAAAAGAAAAGGAGCACAGCTCCCAGGGACAGCTGTCCTCTGGGCCTCCACAACGGACTCACATCTCCCATGAGAAAAGACCTTTGCCTGTTATCTTTGTTCCTTGTTTTTCAGGAAACCTAAGGTTGCACTCCTCATCTCTCAGCCAACCCCCATCTTTGTGGGGCAAGCACAGAACAGAGAGACCCCTTCTGAGGAAAAGGATGTGTTTGCATTTGACTTTTAAGCAATAGTTTGGGGACGTTTGAATAGAAGGGCACCTGCTGAGGTGTGCTTTGCCGTACTGAAGCCTAATGAAAAGAAGAAATTCAGCCACTCAATTTTCATCCTAAAACTACACCCACCCCCAACAGCCAATTTGCCAATTTCAAAACACATTTAGAAGGGAACTGACACTTTTAGCTGCCCAATTTCAGGGGTTGAAGAAAACATGACTTTGAAGAAAAGCCAATTTAGGAAGACTCTGGTGCATCCAGAGTAATGGCTAACAGCAGTGGAATATAAAGCTAATTAAGAAACCTTGGTTTCTATAGACACAGTGCGTCCCCCTACGGATTGTCCACCTACGGAGTCCAAGTTCAGCCTTGAGAGTGAAAGGACAGCAGACAGCCTCCTCTGCAGAGTGGCTGGTGAGCTGCTGGCTGGCTGCTGGTAGCAGATGGGTGCTCTGGCCTTGTTTGTATTTGTAGGTTTGTTTATGTGTTTTTCCCAACTGGACCTGAGGTCATTCTTCACAGGGAATATGTTATGTGTGAACTCCAGTGACTTCCCAGGTCCCTCTTGTGCCCAAAGCTGACTGGTCCTGGGACAAGTGCAGATAAAAGCTATAGCCAACCCCCCAACCCCGCCCTGGCTTTGGAAAGTGCCGATTTAGGCCCACGCAGACCATTTTGAACTATTGAAACTTAATTTTTAAACCCAACAGCAGCTAAGCTGGAACAAGGTGAGTCTCCTAGAGTGCCCAGGCATTGGGCATTCCCCACTGGACCCAGTGATGCCGTTTCCAGCCCAACCCAGCTGTCTTGAGTTTGCCCTGGCTCAGCAGGAAGAAGATGAGAAGGGCCAATCCAGACCCTTTTGTTAGAATCAACCCAGACCAAGACCACTTTTAAAGCAAATTGATGAACTAGGTAGAAATCTGCAAACCGCTCCCTAATTAGCCAAGGTCTGACCAAGGCGCCTGAGGCAATCTCCTCCTGGATTTCACCTCTTTCTTTTCTTCTTCCTTCCCACTCCTCCCCAATACACACTCCCACAGCACTCCACTTTTTTAAAACCTGTTTTTAACTCCACTAATGTTCAATATCAGAGAAAGTTGGAGGATGGGTCTGGATGTGTTTTAGCTGCATGTTTTACCCCTTTGACACTGTACTCGGGCAGGCGTGAGGCTAGAGATATAAGAATACCCAGATGGGGGATCTGACACTGGCCCTTCAGGAAATGACCCTGGAGCTGCAGAAGGTGGAAGCAGCTCTAGAACCGATCCCCTGCTCAGTTGTTCGACGCACAGTCTTGAACTCTGAGCCTAGTGGGGAGCCACTCTGGTGGGGTGCCCCTGAAGCCAGGGCACAGGTACTACCCATATTTATACCCCATTCTGTGTGTGTCTCTCTCTCTCTCTCTCTCTCTCTCTCTCACACACACACACACACACACACACACACACTCCTAGAGCAGGCATCGGACCTCCTCCACCCTCTGGGCAGGGCCTTTCATTTTGTGGTTCCAGCCCCTGCAAGGATACTGATAAAAAGCTTGGCACGCCCATCCTGGCTGGACTTGGATTCCTGCTCCAAGGCATCCCAGCACAACTAACTCACTAGGACCAGAGGTTCGCAGGGGCGAGGGCCCAACGCCCGCCGTAGAATGCGAAGGCAAGGATCAAAGACGCCTCGAGGGTTTGTCAGCTGGGCCTCTCTGAAGCCCCCCGGCGCCCTAATTGCGCTCCCCCCAGCCGCTCGCTCGCAGGCTGGCCCGCCGCCGCGTGGCCGCCGGGCTGCGGGCTATGGAACAGCTGCGAGGCCCAAGGAGCGTCCAGCCGCCCGCTGCCCGGCGCCGGGGACCCTCACGGGGACCGGGAAAGAGCCCCAGGAGGAGGAGGAGGGGCAGACAGCCCCGGGTCAGCTGGGGCTGCCAGGCAGGCCAGGAGCGGGGAAAGTTGGCGGCCCACTCGGCCGGCATCAACAGCCTACGAGCAGAGACTTCTCCCCTGGCCTGGCGGGCTGCTCTGAAATCATCCACTTAAAAAAGAAAGGAATTCACACATCAAATAACTGTTCGGAAGAGGCCAGCAGGAAAACTGGAGCTGTTTTTATATAAGTCAACCCAAAGTCTTTACAGATTTTATAAATTCCTAGTATTACCAGAGGGATTTTTTTTTTCCCCTAAACCAAGTCAGGCATCTCATCACAGTACATTCTGCTTTAGTAAAATCAGCTCCCTTGAATTTCATCGCTTGTTAAAAAAAGATAAACTTTATTTTTGTAATTTTCAATCACAAAAAAATCTATATTTTTGTCTAAGCATTTATTTTACTGAATCAAAAAGACATGAAAAGAAAAATCATGTTTTACTAACGTATATAAGTGACTCTTTTTTGGACAACATATAATAAATATGATATATCACTTATCACTCAGTCTTTCAAATGTACATTTTTTTTTTCATATTATGGAGCATGCCACTTTTCCAAAAGAAAAAAGGTCATGAGAAATCAGTGCAAAGTTCTCAATTACCCTCCTCTTTTCTCTGGGGCAGATGGAATGTCCACAGCAACGCCCTGTGCCTCAGAATTGAGGCTGTCTGTCCACCTACAATTCTCTCTGCCTCTACGGCTTCCTCTCCGTGCCCTCCATACTTCCCTCCTTACCCCTCCCCCCTCCCTCCCTCCTGCTTGTCCCTAAAGTCATTTTTAAAAAGAGCTTGAGGTTCTGTTTTAGTTGATGTTTTCACTTACTGGTCGCACTTTGCGTGGGGTCGTCGTTTTCCCCAGTCACACTGCTGTGGGGAGCTCCCCAGCCCTGTTTCTGGGGGTTGGGGAGATGAGAGCAGAGGGCTGGTTCCTCTTTGGGGGCCCCCCTCCCACTGGTGAGCGGCTTCTTCTCTTACTTCTCGGCTTCCCGGGGTCGCTCCTGCTCCCGAGAGAGGCCCTGCGGCCTGGTGCAGGGCGAGGAGGGCAGCTGTCCGGCCGGTCGGGGTGGGGACGGGAAGGGAAGGGACTGCAGCACGGTCGATCGCTGTCTCTTCACCGGGGATGCGGGGTGCCTGGGATGGGGCTGGACAAGGGGTTGAGGGCCGGCTGCCCCCCGGGCCCCAGGCCGTGGATGAGCACGCGGGGAACCAGGGGCCGCTGCAGCTGGGGATGGGGCGCGGGGGGAGTCCGGTACATGCTGCTGTACATGGCTGCGGCAGCCGCGGCGGCCGTGGTGCTGTCCACGCTGCCCAGCAGGCTTGGGTGGTAGAAATAAGGCGACGGGAACATCCTCTGCAGGGCCGAGTAGTTCCCCGCCTCGGCCAGCAGCTCCAGGCCCACCGCGGTTTGCCGCTTCCACTTGGTCCTGAAAAAAAGCAGGCGTGCGCGCACCCCGCAGCTGTGGGAACAGTCCAAGCACCAGACCCTTTCTTCTCTCACCCTCTCCAGGCTTCTCTTTCTTGGGGAACAGAGAAACTGCAGACTGCGAGAGTTCTGAGAACCAGTAATGAAGCACATCTCCTAGGCTCCCTCCCCATCCTCTTGCTCACAGAATGGCCCAAATTCATGTCAGTTTCATAAATTACACCCTTAACGTCTGAGACATTCGTAAATGAAATTCTATAAGCTTCCCTGCCTTTTCCTCTCTGTTCTGCTGTTGCCCCTTACAGTTGGGTTACTTCCTGAAACTTTCCTGAAGGCCAACGGAGACCACTCTTTCTATAGGCAGTCTTCTCCCTCCTCCCCTAATTCCTTTCCCCAAGGGCCCCCCACAATCCCAGAGGGTCCACTCTCTGCCCCTCCCCCTTTCTTCCAGTCCCAGTGAGAAGAAACCATAAACAAAAGGACACAGAGACTCCTGGGCCTCAGACCCTGTCCCTCTCAGTCCCCAGAGCTGTGGAGACACGTCCCTCTCCACAGCCTCACAGGACCTTACAGTGGGTGGGGGGCTTGGGGCAAGGAAGGCACACACCAACATTTCAAAATTAAAGTCATTTGAAGGAGGGCTCTCCCAAGGTGACAGCACCTCGGGGCCATTTGGGTGGGGGATGCATTTCAAGATATTTTCTCCTCTGGGAGAGAGTAACAATTAAAACCTGTGATCAGCTTTTCTTGGTCTCCTCCCTCCTCCACAGTACCCCGCTAGGAAGAAGAAGCGACCAGGCCTTTGCTCAAATGCCCCATGAAGGAGCTCAGGGCTGGTGGGCCATCCATACCCAGCAGCTTCAGCCAAATTAATAAACATGTCGCCCATTTTAAATTGGCTACAAATGACACTAATGTTTTCCGACAGAATTAGGGTGGCTGAAGCCGTATGTAATGAGACAGAAAATTATGGTAAAGATGACAACTGGATGGGCATTTCCAACTGCACTTATGGACGATTAGAAGACAAATGAGAGAAAAAGAGGGGGAGGAAAAAATCTAGATGAGGGTGTCTACTGCCAGGCTTGGAAATACGGCACAACTTCAGCCTCAGCTTGCCTGGGTCCTCGCTACAGCTCAGAGCCTGCAAGCGCTGCCAACCCCTTTCCGGATTTCCTTTCAGTGGAGGCAGTGGTTCCTGGCAGGCTCTGAGGTGACAAATCTAGGGAAGGGACAGACCCTCAGCCTGTCTGGCCGGCTATCTCAAAAGCCAAGGCAAGGACATTTAAGCTGAGGCCAGTGGGGCAGCTCCTCCTGGATCGAAATAGCCAGGCTGTGTGGCCAGCTGCAGACCTTCGGAACCATCCGGGGGCAGGCCCAAAGGGTACATGGCACAAGCTCTACGGACCGAGTGTCAGCTGCACAGATGTCTCAATTTGAGAAGGTGTGGCTTAATCGATTTGGGGGCAAAGTGGGGGGAGGGGTTCCAGCCACTCGGGTTTGAGAGGAAAAGTAGCATATGCCAAGACACTCAGAAGTGCAAAATGTTCCAAACTCCAGCTGCCGCTCCATACGTCCCTCTCACCTGGGGGGTGTGCTTCATCCCGCTCCAGCCAGAAAGTCCCCAGGGGCCCATTCTGGGGCCTCTGAGTCCCTGGAGTCTCCCGGGCCAGGAAGGAAGAGGACCGGCTCAGTAGTCATGACCTGGATGGTCAGATGCCTTTGCTCCCCACCCCACAGCATCCCTTACCTGCGGTTCTGGTACCAAGTCTTGACTTGCGTGTCCGTGAGGTTGAGCGCAGCTGCCAGGTCCATGCGGTCCTGCACACTCAGATATTTCTGCCGCTCAAAACTACGCTCCAGTTGATTGAGTTGGTGGTCAGAGAAAGCTGTTCTGGCTTTGCGAGGCTTTTTGGCTCTCACAGGGGGACTCTCTCGGCTACTCGTAATCTCCCGGTCTCCTTCCTCCTTTGTTCCTATGGTAGAAACCCATAGCCATAAGACAGTGTGGAATAGGAAGGGTGGTGTGTCCTCCTGGCACACACTTCCACATTCCCAAGCCAGCTGCTGGTCTTGGGGGACTATACTCCCACCACCCTCATCACACACAAACTTGGACCTTAGCCAAGGACCTTAAGAGGAAGAGGACCAATTTCTGGCCAAAGAGTCTAGAACTTTGTGCAGAACTCCTAAAAGGATTCTAAAAGGTTGTCTGATCTTCCCATCTTTGTAAGTTAAAAAGAAAAAAATATTTTACAATATAGGGTCCTTTTGTTATTTCGTTCACAGGGTAGGGAGGGGGGAGATTCTGTCCCATTCCTTTACTGTTTTCACTAGGACTTCATTTTTTTTGATTTGGTACTTTTCAAAATACCTTTCTACTCTGTTGTTGGTGGTTTGTTTGTTTGAGGAAGGGGCACCTTTTTCATTTCAATTTTTCTGTTTACTGAAAGTTAAATGCATTTGCTTTCCCCTTTCAGATGCACTTGGGAAATAGTGGGATCAAGTTCTCTGCAGCTGCTTGCGTCAAGTCTTTTAAAGCTTCAGAAAGAATATGTCACCCAGACACCAAGTAGAGCTCAAAATCACTGAGCCCATCCAGGTGACATCCCAGAGATTTCCGGATTCTATTTGTCAACTTTGGTTTTTTACTGAAATGCTGGGAAATCGATATGTCAATCCCTCTCTGTTTGTACCCGTTTTTGCTGCACTCCTTGATCTTCCCTGCAGGAAGAACAATAATCTCTCTAATTGACCCACTGGGGAGGTTGGTGCACAAAAAATTGCCAGACCAGACTGTACATCTGTTTTGGGCACTATTATGCTAATGTTATAATAGTAAAATGAGGAGCCAATATCCTACCTTTCAGATAGTCAGCACACATCTTTCCCAGAAATGGCAAAGGTTAATACTAATAACAGTAATGAACTTACTAGTAAAGGTAAAAAAGAATTCTCCTGGTATGTTAAAACTCTTTTGTCGTGCAAAGACAAAAACACTTCCTTATGTAATTGAGGAAAAAATGGGAAAAGGGAGTTGAAGCACAGTTTCAACTGCTATTTTCTCATTTTACAAAAATAAATCCAACTCCATAAGATTTTACTTTCATAAATGCTATGTCCCAATTACTTATAGGGAGACAAAATCCTACTGAAATACAAATAATTGGTTGGGGCCATGGAGTGAGAAGGGCATTTTAAAAACTGAAAAACTGATTATAAATTTTTACCATAGGGGCTTCCCTACATTAATCACAATCTAATAAAAAAAAGTTACTTTGTTAATCAACTCGGAAATTTTTTCCTCATTAAATCTGGTAATTCCTGTGATGTTTAGAAAATGCAGTGTGTGGGGGGGTACTGAAATAATTTGCATTAAAGAATAAACGCCACGTTGTGAACACACCCCTAGACACCACGCTAGCTAAGCGGGTCTCTCTCTCTCCCACCTCCCCTCATCCCCACCCCCCAGGTCTCAGCTAGAAAAATCTCCAGTCCTTCCCTTTTATCAATGAAAGTATTCCGGTCAAATCCCCTCCGCCTCCTCCCTATTCCTAATAAATAGAAATTATATAAAACAAAGAAAGGAGCAGGATGGCGGTGAAGGTTGAGAGGTGTCTATGTAACAATAAACCGAACTTCGGACGAGTCCTCGTGTCGCACGCCCAGGCCTTACTCCCGCTTGCAGTTTTCGACCGGGGTGCAATCGCCCCAGAGGCTCCCTGAATAACTCCGCAGCCGAGACTCGAGGGAGTCTGCAGGCGAGACCAAGAACCAGAGGTCGAGAAGACACTAGATGGCTCGGGCGGCCGACGCGGCGCGACTCACCGTGGCATTTGATGTCGCTCTGGGAATCTTCCCGCTTGTCGAGTTTGGTTTTGCTGTCCTCCTGCTCGAGCTTTGGCCTGAAGCTCTCGTGTGCTGCGTTGCTCTCCTGCTTCGGGGTGTGGTGGGGAGAGGACACGCTGGTGCTGTAGGGTGCACACGCCGCCAGTGGTTTGCTGTCGCCCAAGATGTCCTTAATTAAAAAAGAAGAGGTGGAAGTCCTGGGGGCCGAGGCGGCCGAGCCCAGCTGCTGGGCCGGCGGTTGCTGCTGCGGCTGCGGCGGCGGCTGCTGTTGGGGAGAAGGCTGCAAACTTTGCGTGGGGGCCGCGGCGGGCGGCGGCGGCGGTTGGCTGTGGTGGAGGTGGTGGTGATGCTGGGGCCCTTCTGCGACCAGATGCGTCTCCGAGGGCTCCATGGTGACCGAGATGGGAGAAGAAGGCGCCGTTCCTACGGTATCAATCTCCGAACAGGGGGATGGAGTGGCCTGACTCCTAAAATCCGCGGTCCTGGCCTCGCCGAGCGGGCGGAAATCTCCATTCATCATGCCGGGGCTGCCCGAACTGGCACTGGACAAAATCGTGTCTATTCCAAAACTCGACCCGCTGGCCCCTTCCATTGTTGTCATTTCTACATGAGGTCCACGCCACTTCGCCGCTCAGCAGCCGCCCCGACCAAGCAAAGGAAGCTATCGATCGTAAAACAGAATAAACACTAAACAATGTTGTCGCAGCTTTAAAAAAACAAAAAAAGTGGGGCGGGAAGGGAAGGAAGGATCATGGGGCGGGTGGCAACCGGTGGACACTTTCGACACTTTTTGTTTTCCTTATTCATAAAGTAGGGGTGGGGATAAGGGGAGAAAGGAAGAGAGAGGGGGAAAGTTACAAAAATTGTTGAGGAAGAACGGAGCTTGCGCTCCAGGAACGACCGCGCACGTGGGGGCGGCGGTGGCAGCGCAGGGGACTCAGACGAAGACGCAGGCGGCGGGAGGTGACCCCGACGCCGCCGCCGCTGCCGCCGCCGCCTGGGTCTGCCCACAGCCTGGCACCAGGCGGCAGCGGCGGCGGCGGACCTGGCAGGTGCAGCGACCGCGGAGCCCGGGCGGTCGCGCGCCCTCGGAGCTCCCGGGCCGCTCCCCGAGGTGGCTGCTGCGCGCGACTCGGCCGCCCTGGAGCCGAGTTTCTGAACTTTCTTGGAAAGTTGTGGAGCAGACACCGCCGCAGTGGTCGCGGCAACACGAGACGTAGAGGAAGAAAAGGAAAAGAAGGAGCAGGCGCAGGCGGAGGCGGCGGCGGAGACGCGGCGCCGAGCGACTCCGGCCGCTGCCGGGCGCGTTCGCTTGTAATCCGGCTGCTAGCGGGCGGCGCCGACCCCCTCGCGTGACGTCACGGCCTCTGCCGCTGCTCTCCGCGCCGCGCAGGGCCCGCGCCCCCGCCACCGAGGCCGCGCGCCGGGCCCCGTGCTCCCATTGGCCGCGCCCGCGCGAGCGAGCGACGCCGACGTCCCGGGAGCCAATGGACGCGCGGCTCGCGAGCCCGTCAGCGAGCGCCGCTTCGGCCCCGCTGCTCTTTTGAGAAACTGCTCAACCCCTTGCGTGCAGCCCAAAGCCGAACACCTAGTCCTGCGGTGATTCCGGTGTCCACAATCATGCGTGAGGGTAAAGGCAGAGAGGAGAGCAGAGGTGGACTAGAGAAGGGAACCGAGGGGTAAAATTAAATACAAAAAACCCACCAAGTAGAGATCTGTCCGTTCTCCCGAGAAGTCCGAGGAGGGAAGAGAAAGAGGACAGAAAGAGAAAAGGAATCTGGCGGGCTCACCTTCGCACTCCAGCGCGGCCGCCCTCGCAGCATCCCCAAACACGCGCTTGTGTAGTCCAAGGACACTGAGAGCAGAGGAGGGGGGTGGGGTCCCTGAAGGAATCCACGGGAAAGTGTGTAACTCCAGCAGCCGGACCTCTGGGTGGGCGGGCGGACTCGGAGCTCTGATTTCTCCCCGGATAGCCCCGGCGCCCGAGCTGTGGCTCCCCTAGGCGGCGGGTCCCCGACGGGGGTTAGAGCGCATCCACTCTGCACTCTCGGGAAGCGTGGTGGGAAAGGGTCCTGTTGCTCCAAACCGCTGTCACCAATCTGGTCACCAGTCTGGGCCCGTGCTGGAAGAAATGCCTGGCCAGACACTTTCTCCCGAGCGGGGTAAATAATGCCCCGAGGCGTTCTCTAGTGGCGAGGAAGGCGCTGGTTCACTGTCCGGCTGGCACGGGGCTCAGGAACCCAGGTGGCGGGGCCGCGGCACGCACTCCGCCTCACCACTCGCCAGTTCTCTCTCTCTCCCTCCCCCCCCCTCCAATCCGGGCGCTCATTTGGAAAGGAAACAGTCACTGTGGATCCACTTGGGACCTGGAGCGTGGCATGACTGTGACGCCTCGTCGGAGGGTATCAACTTACATTATTTTCTCTAGGACGTCTCCAACCTGTCTCTTGTTGAATGTCAGGGTAATGGGAAGTGCCAGTGACAAGACGGCGTATTACTCCTGATTAAGTGCCGTGTCAACCTAATTAGCAGAGTAATTATAAGGTGCTAATGAATGATTCAAAGTTCTTTGAGTTACATTTTACTCCAAATTACCATTTTAAGAACCCTATGAATCTGAGTGGCTGGCATCGCTTCCGTGACTAGGCGCAGAATGATGGTAGAAAATGGCCTTTCAAGTCTCCAAGGGCTGGGCCGAAATCTGGGGTTTAGTTGCAGTTCGGAAGGTCCCTTTCTGTGAAACAGATTTTTTTCCCGTTGAGGGCGGGGGCGGTGGTGGTGGTGGTGGGACGACCGGGTGGTGTCCGGGACGCGAAAGATCTCCTGGGACAAGATGCTGCCTTTCTGTCGGAACTGCACCCGCGTGAGCCCTTGGTCCGGGAGGGGGTAGGTTCGAGAGTCATCCTTCCTGCTCTTTACTAGGGAATTCGCTGTGTTTGACCCAGAAAAAGCCCGCGCTGTTTCAAGGGTGTGTTGAGCTGTTTCTTATCTTTGTGCTGTTTTTTCACGGGTCTGTCTCTGAGGAGAACTGCAGGGAGAGAAAAGACCAAGGCGAGATGTTCAATCCGGGCAGCTCTCGCTTTTCTCGTAAGGCGAGGGGAGTTTGGCGGAGGAGCCGGGGTTGGTGAGCCAAGGCGGGGACGCGGCGCGAGCTGCAGGCAAAGGCCGTAGCCGGCGGGAGGGCGTTCGGGGCGCCCCTCGGGAGCGTGCGGTGGGCCCGCCGGCTGGGGTTGAGCTTCTCTGGCCTGGGAAGCCGCAGAGGGCCGGGATGATGTCTGGAGAGGGGTTGAATCGGCCACCTCTGGAGCGGAAACTGCTCACGGACCAGACCCTCCTGGGAGCCTGCCAGCCAAGCCTCGGCCTGCCGGCGGGCGGGTATCTCGGAACCACCGCCCGGACTTGCGCGGGCATCTGTCTTATGGAAGGCAGCAGTGTCCCACCCATAAGGCCGTGGAGCCGAACCCCCTCGCGCATCCCTGGCACAGTTGGCTTCTGTGGGATGAGCGCTGGGACGGCCCGAGACTACAGGTGTATGCTACCCGTTATACTCCCTTCTCTAAATATCAATTAGGGCTCTTCTCATTCTGACATCACCTGTCACTCCCCAAACGGAGTGCGTTCCCTCCCAAACCTGGGGTTCCACCCGCACTTCCCTCACTGACTGTTCTGGGTGGGAAGTGGGGAGGAGAAAACAAATCTAAGATCCAGAACTAACAGCACTGCACAAATCAGTTATTCTCGACCTTGATAAATAATTCATTTAAGCCTGTTTTTGTTTTCTTCCGACTCCTAAAATGACTCAAGAGCTCAAAAGGCTGATTGCACAGCTTGTGTTGGACAGTTGAACAGGATTTTTGGTTGGAATAATTCACAACATTAGCAGGGGAGGTAGAAATATGACCCTACCAAAAAAAAAAAAAAAAATCTAAAAAGAAAGGGTGAGAGGATGGTGAAAGTTTTACAAGAGTAGTGTTCCTTTTATGAAAACTCCAAAGCAAAGAAAATGGAAGCCCAGTAGGCCCCAACTTGTGAAGGTCTCAGATCCTGTTTTCTTAAGAAAAGGTTAAGATCATAGGAGGTTTCTTTGGGTGGGATGTTAGGGGATCCGCTTTCCGCATCACAATTGTGAGGGGATAACACAACCTTGACTTTTATCAAGGCTCCTATCTTTGGGTCCCTACTAGAGAGGATATGCTAGTGGTAGCCTGAATATCTAAAAGAGGGACTCAAAGATCAGAATGCAAACTTAATGAAAAACAAATTCTTCAGAGCTGGGCTTTTGTTTCTTAACTTTTTTCAGTTCTTTTTTCTCCTTTCCTCTTTTGCCATTTTTTCCCCCTGAGAGTATATATAATCCATACGCCCAAGAAGTCTCATACTTTCTAGCAGAGCAAACACAATTAACTTTTTATTTAAAAAATATAAATTCAGGGCGCCTGGGTGGCTCAGTGTGTTAAGCCGCTGCCTTCGGCTCAGGTCATGATCTCAGGGTCCTGGGATCGAGTCCCGCATCGGGCTCTCTGCTCAGCAGGGATCCTGCTTCCCTCTCTCTCTCTCTCTCTGCCTGCCTCTCCATCTACTTGTGATCTCTCTCTGTCAAATAAATAAATAAAAATCTTTAAAAAAAATATAAATTCAGAAATAGAACGGGGTGTAGACTAATCACATTTTCAATTCCCATGTAGAGGAAAAGAAATACATTAACTGGATTTAATCTCAGGTTTTACCACTGAATTTAAGATACAAATAAATATAGTCCCTAAAGCGACATAGGTTTCAAAATGATCTTCCACTTTCAAGCCTTCATTTCCTTAAAAAAAAAAAAGACGAATGAAGAAAGAAAAATTCTTTAATTTTTGGAAGATTTTGGAATTCTTGCACAGAAAGCAGTTATTTGCCGAATGTGGATAATAGAGAACAAACTTTTCCTTCTGCTTTGAAGGCCATGTCAGTCCTGAGTCAGTCAGTGCTCACTACCCACCATAAATAATAATTCAAACATTCATGATTTTAACAAGTTTTGTTCCTTAATACATGTATCTTCCTTCCTTCACTTTAACAAGTGAGATTTGGGATTGTGTTTAAACTGGAGCATCAGTTTTTTAAAGGAAGTGAACTTTGAAGAAATGCACCTATAGATTACGATGAATTTGGAAATGATGTTTCTTCCAATCATTTTTATTTTGAACGTTTGCAAGTGTCTGCATGATGACAATGCCAACCGACGGGAATGAAGTGCAAAGGCGCTTCCTTCCACTGGGCGGCGCCAAGAGCCCCGAGCCGAGAAAGCAGGCTATTGTTTCTTTCTGTAAAAGATGCAAGGGTGTACAAATAAGCTCTCCCTCTTCTGAGGCTGGCTCCCTGATGATAGCGTGACCTCTCAACATTTCAAAGCTACAGGAACGTTGGAAGTTTTCTTTATTTTTCTTTTCAGTATATGAATATATTTCCAACTGCTTAAGGACTTGATGCGTATATGCTTGGAAACAAAATGTAGTAAAGAGAAAGACATGAAAATCCTGAAATTGAGTCCCTTAAATAGAGAGAAACCAGGGGAGTGGAGATTGGGAGCAGAGAGAGAAAAGTAAAGTAGATGAAAAA